AATTGAGTTTATTGGTACATTTTAGGGATACAGTACAGTTACATTCGTTGTTGGGATCTTGTACCTCTACGGGACAAGCCTTGGTTCTCATTTTTTCCCCTTACCCCTGCCCTCCCTTCACCCCCTCCTCCCCTTCCCATCTACAACTACTTTATTTCCATCTTTTCATTATCTCACATTTTTTTCTTTTCCCTTTTTACCCTTCCCCTGCCCATCACACCTTCCCTACACCTTTAGCTCCTTTCTTCCTATTTCTCATATAAATGTTTTAATCAGTGATACCTATGTACATATCACAGAAGAGCAGAATTATAAGTAAACAGTATAGTAGAGAATATTACATTTTTATAATATAAGAAAGGATTTACGGATACTCACAGAAATTAAGCACTGGAAATAACTTTGTTTTCTACTGCCTTGCCTTCTCCGGTTACTTAGTTTTATGACTAGATTTATATGCCAAATCTCTATAATAAGGAGATAAAACAACACATATTCCACAACAAATATTCCAGTTGTAGGAAAGTCAATTAATCAATGACATTGGAAATGAGATAAGAAAACATTACAAATGTCAAAAGTGTTCCATGACTCTATCAGCTGTGAAGAATTAGAAAGGAATCTACTAAGTCAAAGGAAGTGAGGAGCTGGGACAATACGAGCTTTACCACCCAGGGTCAGGGTCTGGGTGGATTTCCAGCTCTGCTACCTCTAAAATCTTGGCCCCAGGAAGTCAGGACCTCTCATGAACACTGGCTCCTTCATCTATGAAATGAAGAGCCCATTACCTAATTGATAAGGATGCTGGGATTTTAACTGGAATTAATTGGTATCTTCAACTCTAGTCTTGGAGCAACCTAATTATGTTCTTTTTAGACAACATAATGCTTCTGAAATTTATCCACATTGCTGCACGTATTGGTAGTGCATTTCTTTTCACTGCCAGATAGTATCATACAACACAGATATAAAATAATTCGCTTGTTCAATCAATATACAGAAGAAATTTTGAATTCTTATTTTTTTATTATGAGTAAAACTTGTGCATAAGTAATCACAAGTAATCACTTATGCACAAGTTTTTATGCGGATGCATGTTTTTATTTCTCTCAGGTATAGGCCTAGGAATGAAGTATATGTTTGATTTTCTTTTCTTTTCTTTCTTTCTCCCTTCCTTCTTCTTCCCTTTCCCCTTTCCCCTTTCCTTTCCTTTCCTTTCCTGGTGTTCAGGATTGAACTGGGGACCTTGCACTTGGGAGGAAGGCAGCAGAACCACTGAGTTAAACCCACAGCCCTTGACTTTATTAAAACTGCCAAAATATTTACTAAAATAGTTACATCATGTTTTGCCTTCCCATCAGTATAAAACCTTGTGTTACTCTACATGCTCTTCAGCACTTAGTATTGTCAGTATTTAAAATTTTTATAATTGCTGAAAGAAAAATGGAAACTGATGCCTACACATACTAATCATAGAAGCATCTCATACATAAGTATTCCTATACTATTTAAGTAGTTAATCTGGGAGTCCAAAGAGACACTCAAATTCCTAATGAATGAACTGGAAAAAATTCTTTTTTTGATAGAATTACAGGCTGCATAACTCAAGAAAGATCACCTCATTTCCTCACTCTAGTACCTTTTTGGCTATCTAGAGGATATATAATGCAGTCAGAAAATAATACTTTCATCTTGTGTTTTTTGCTCTTTAACTTAATGCTTCTTGATATTTGAAGAGCGGTTAAAATTATTTACAGACCTTACCCTAATTTGGACAAAGTATTCCTGTTCAAAATGAAGAGCTGCTTTTCATCAACCCCACCACAACAGTCGAAGGGTCCAGCCTCCCGGAAAGCACAGGAAGTTCTGGCCAAAGGCAGGAAGGAGACTGTCATTCCCCAGCTCAGCTCTCACTTCACAGCCTCTTGTCTGTGGTGGGCTACAAAGAAGTCATCCCTACACTAAACAGGAGAAAAGAAGAAACCAACATCCTGCTTAGTCTGTTCATGAAGCTGCCATTCCCTCCACCTGGAATGCCTGCTCTCCCATACAAACCTCTTTAAATCCATTGAAGCCCTACTTTTCTAAAAGCCCTTGTTTCTCCCCGAACTAGGTCAAATTCCCCTGATATATTCTTAACTGTATTTTTCCTTTGGGTCCTTTTCACAGTTTATAAATCTGTTCATTTTTGTGAGTAATTTATTAATGTCTTACTGCTTCTTCTTCATGGAACTAAATGACATTTTCTTATAACTATACCCTCAGCACCTAGAAGGTAATTAATAAAAAATGACTAACTAACAAACTGCTAATTAAAACATTACCTTAGCAGGACTGGTAATATTGCTTTATTGGGACTTATATGCCTCTAAGCTTCATGTAAGTTAGAAAATAATGGTGATTACTTCTTAGTCACTTCTAAGAAAAAAAATTCAAACTCCAAAAACAGTGCCAAAGTTGCCTGGTCTTTTCCTGTCCCAATTACCATTGTACCATCTAATAGAATGTCAGATTTATTTCATCTATCTAGCCTCTCAAAATTCAAAACCATGAAATGAAAGATTTTCAGAACAAGAACTTTTCGTACATTAGAATGCAATGAAAAAGCAATTCTCATAGTTTCATATTTTAAATCTGAAGGTCTTGGTAAAGTGTAAAGTAAATGCAGTTACCCAATAAATCCCGGGTCACTATCTTCTACAAAGAGGGAAATGGTTATGCTATTTCACTGAGAAGAGGCTATTACAGGCCCCATATCACTCCTGCAGACTTTATGACAAGCAATAGGGAGACAATAGCACATATCTAAAATCCAAAGAAAACAGTTCTCTTCCAGTTATAGGTATAAGTAGGATGATCAAAAGTACAGTGAATGCTTCAGTTTTTTATAATTTATTACAGTAAAAGATACATTGCCATCACTCTCCCTTAAAATATTCCCCTTTGCTCCAAATATATTTATCACATCATCCTTGCTACTTTTTGAAGAATTTCTGAGAAATCCTCTCTCATGAGTGTTTTTACATTTTCTTTTTAATCACACCTCATAAGGACACTCATGAAAAAGGACTTCCAGTGTTTCAGAAAGTGATAAGAATGAAGAAAAAAGTATGTTCAAATCAATGGAGAGTATTTGGAGAGGAATTAACGGCAATGGGTCTTTTACTTTAAAAATTGTTTTCATTTAAATAGTTACTATATATTTTTATCATGTCTACTACACAGGGCAAAACTCAAGTGGCTTCTAGACCATTGACTTTTTCTTCAACTACCCATTTACAAGAAATCTCAAGGAAATGATGAGTGACTAGAACTTTAAAAAAATACAAGTATTATACATTAAAAAAATAGAAGTATTTCCATGTTTAGCTCAGCTCAAATACAAAACAAAATTTATTGACATGTGTGGTAGTTTATATCTACATGACCTCCAAGAGGCTCATGTGCTCATAGGTTGGACTTTGGGGAGGTGATTGGATTATGGGGACATTATAGCTGACAGGAGGTAGGGGTCTGGTCAGAAGAGGTAGGTCATAGAGGGTGTGACCTGGAAGGGTTAATTTTCCTTCTCAGCTTCCCTTTACTTTCTCTCCATCCTACCACACCACAAGCAGCTTTTCTCTCCTATTCCCCTCAGCCATGCTGTTCTACCTCGGAGCCAGCTGACTATGGACTGAAATATGAGCCAGAATAAATCTTTCCTCCTTTAATTTGTGGGTGTTGGGTATTGTGTCTTAGTGACAAAATAACATAACAACATGTATTCTATACATTACTGGCAGGAACAAACTCTAAGGTCTAAATTTAATATTACAAAAAATATTGAAGACCTAAATCTTATGAAAGAATTTTAGAAAAGTTAAATGTTAAAGGTTACTTATTTCTTTTACTTACTCACTAGATACTGAGCCCCTCCTATATGCCAGGCACTGCTTAGCACACTGAAGAAATATGTGTATCTCCTAAGAATAGCCTAATTTTATCAACCAATTCCTTCTTTAGAAAAGAGTGACCAAGTTTCAAGGTTTCCTCTCTTATATGCATGCAAATGCTTTCTTATAAGCATGGAGAAGTCATTGTTTTCAAATTGCTATGTTCTTATTTCATTTTAATCTAAGATAAATTCATGTTCTTTCTGATTAAAAGGTATTTCCAGGTTGAAATGAATTCTGACAAATTTAAAGAATTAGAGGCTTATTTTTTTAAAAGGTAAAAATGGGCCCAAAAAATAAAGTTTTACTCCCACACCACAATGAAAGAAATTGTAAAAATATGAAATAAACTAATCTAAATTTTTCCATCATTCCATTACCAGACATACTATCAAAAATAAATGCCCCATGTGTCTAGATTAGCAACACCCATAACTCCATGGAAAATTTATCCAAATTTTATCTTGAGAAAACTTGGTACGAAGCCACAGTAAATCTCACAGATCTCCTATAATTACAAACAAGAAAAAAAAAATAATCTGACAAGATTCCAAGCTTAATAAAACAGATGCTTCTTCCTCACAAGGCAACGGCTGTCAGGCAAAGCCAAGATTTGTGAACACTTCTTTCTCACATTCCATAAAGTGCCTTCTCTCAAGGCAAACTATTACTAATTATTGGCAATGTTCTAGAAAAAGAAAGTCAATGAAACGCAGGCTGCTAGTAATGACAATTATCCAAATACTAAGAATTGCTCTAAAACAAAAATCCCCAGAAGAAAAGACCATTTCCTATGAAGGCAAGTATGAACAAATAAATGTCTGCCAAACTCTTTGCAGAAACCCTTAATGAGCTATAAAATGCATTAAGATTAAATGTCACTACGTTTCACTATAAAGCAAGCTCCAAAGTAGGGATGCCAGCAAATAAGGATCAGAAGGAGACAACAGAGAAAACAGGAAAGAAAAGTGGAAGAGCAGAAAAATTAATACGACTCTCCTGGATATCTTAGAATTAGATATTTTAAAACAGAAGTTATCTTAATAATACCCATCTGATTTGCATTACCTGACAGACAGATATAAGTTAAATATTCGCCTTGACCCCCAGTTGCCAAGAAAGGAATCTTTTTCTTTGTCCTCCTCTTGACTTGGACAGCTCCCAGCATTCTTTCATCAAGAGGTGCAAAAATTTCCTTGCTGATGGCAGATTTGGCACTCATTGTAGAACTGGCAAGGAGGGCACGTAGTGAATTTTCTGAAGAAGGAAAATAAAAAATAGTTGGAATTGATAATAATATAAGGCTCATATAAGAATAAGCAGCAAGCAGATTTGCAGTTAAAGTCCTTTTCAATTTACAGTTTAACCTTTTACTTACTTGAAATGCATCACAGAAACATTAAAAGCAAGGTCTTACATTTGTAAAAGCTATGCAAAAATACAAACAAAGAGGGAATACTCATTTTTCCTTGAAAATGTCAAACTCTGGGAGATGAGCAGCATGAAATGGGATCTGGGACACTTGGCAATTTCTACCGCTACTGCACCACACTTAACTGGCAAGCGGTACCCACCCTAATCCTATTCGTCAAGGAACAGGTTTTCACATTTCTTGTCGAGAAATCTTCCCACTGTCCAACAATGCTGAAATTCAGGAAGTTCTTTATGTTCTTTCAAAATCCATGTTAACCCTAGTGGACATCCATTTCCCTAATCCCATTCATAATGGAAATAATCCTATCATTTTGTACATAATAACTATATACGCAACGGAAGACCATTAATTGAATCACCCTTCAGCACTCTTTGATCAGGCTAAGTAATGAATTCTTCATCATCCTCTTGCAATGGGCCCTATTTTCTAGCCCTCCTCTGCAGGTCTTGCCATACATTGGGCCCTTGCCAAACTCTCCACATTTTCCTTCAGCCAAAATGGGCACAGAATTCTAAAAAACCATATGACCAATGCTAAGTGTTTTGAAAACATTATCCAGAAGTTCCCATATGTTATGCTCCTGTGGTTAACTAGCAGTGGGTGCCCAATAATTAAGAAAATAAAGCAGTATGTTGCTGACTGACAGCAAATCCCCCCGAAAAACTTACAATACAAAGCCCCTATACTATATTTAGCTTTCCAAAAGTTGTACTTCTCTGATATTCTTAATTCTGCTTGTGTCTATTATGTTCAACTTAATACTAACCTTGCTTCCATGTAGCTCAACAGCAACTTAGCAAACTTTCTCTATTTTATCACTCTAGTTACAGGTAGTCTGTGACTAATCAGAGAAACTTCAGAGATTCTGTATATGGATCAGCAGCACAAAGATACATACAGTAATAACAGTAGCTCAAAGTTTATCAGATGGCTATAAAATTGAGCCAATTGGTAAACAAATACTTACCACATGCCACCTTATATTAGAGTTGGAAAATAAATAAGATATAGCCTCTGTCAGGAGTTGACTGCTAACCACATCAAAAGTTTCACTTAAATCCCAGTGGTTTATGAAGGGAGACAATGGGAACATCTTTCTCAGTGCAAGATTCACAAACAAGACACACTACCACCCAAACCTTAGCCACATCTGTAACCACCCGGCAGGAAGAAATATATTTAAAAAGAGCATCTTTCTGGTTAAAGAAATTTATCTTAGTTTTAATTCTGTAATAGGGCTGGGTTTCTTAGTGGCATCAAGAACATAGATCAATATATATACATCAAGAATATACATATGTACAGGTCTAGATATCATAGATCTATGCCTAGGTCTCCTTGTGCTTTGAGCATGACATTTTTATCATTGCCTCAAGCTTCCTCATGCTGGCTAAGAAAAAATGACAACAATGTAAAGAGATCTAATTTTCAGTGTGCTGACCACTAACTGATATGCTCTAATTTCCTGCAAGTTAGCAAACAGAACCACTCCCACCATTCTTTGCACTATGACTTTCCTAGGATGATATTATAATTTACTGTGAATATTTTTTTTTTTAAAGAAAGAAAGGAACACATACTAGTTCTTTTCTAGCTCTCAGGCCTCCCACCTCTTACCATTTTAGAGACATGTGAAAAAGAAAGCCAGCCAGGGCTAGCATGGTGACTTCAAATTATTCTATAAGCAAGGCAGAAAGAAAGCTATAATCCTAAATTCATCAGGCCTTCTTTGACCAGCACCTTCCAAACTGGTTTGTCTGGCTTTGCTTTTTCATCTTGGATTCACAGTTCTCCAAAACCATAGTTAAAAGAAACAGAAATCTATAATTTCATTTGTAAAATCTATCAAAAGCAAAGGAAAGAGACATGCATATTTTATCAAATTTTTGGGGAATCATATTTTTTTAAGAAACTGGTGATCTTTCATTGCTTTTTCATTCTTATAGTCAGTGGCCAAGGATACATGGAAAAAAATCAGAAGAAGAAAAATAAAACTGGTAACTTCATTTAACCCAAGTTATAGAATCAAACAAGGCTGAGTTCAAATTTTACTTTCCGTATGTAATTTGTGGGTATGTGTGCCTGGGAGAGATATCGCAGAATTCCTGACCCCCAGTCTAATTGCTGTGTCATGGTGAATCTTCACCTACCTCCTGCCACAGAAGATTTAAGTGATAGAATGTGTGCAGATCAAGGGCTTGCATAACTAAGTTTACTTAAAATTGGAAAAATCTTTATTGATCTTTCTACACAATATAAATAATAAATGTGCTTCTAAACTTGAAGCAACTGAATGAATGTAGCCATCCAGACCAGAAAATACTTGTAAAAGTAAAACCAAATATTATTTACCCAAGTCTTAGTTTTTCACTCATTGATACAAAACTCTCTACACATAAACAAAAGGCCTCATATGGAAGGCTCTGTACTAAGTGTTACAAGGAAGACACATTTATAGGTTTTATCATCAGGAAATTCACTAGTAGAGATCATCAGATTGATTCTATGGGGAAGTAATTTTTGTGCAGGGCAATGATAATAACGGAATAATTGCTCCTGTGTGTGTGTGTGTGTGTGTGTGTGTGTGTGTGCATGCGTGCACACATGCATTTAACAGTGTGTGCTGGAGGGCAATGATTAACGGAATAATTGCTCCTGTGTGTGTGTGTGTGTGTGTGTGTGTGTGTGTGCATGCGTGCACACATGCATTTAACAGTGTGTGCTGGACAGTAAATCAGAATTTTACAGTTTGTTTTTTAAGCAACTCTCTTAACTGTTTATTAGGCCTCCATGCAGTTATCCTATAACCAAATTTTAAAGCCATTAGCTTGAAGAGGAGCTGAAGCCTGGGACTGTAGGGTTGTGATGAGAAACAAACAAAAAAAAGAATCATTTGAGGAGAAAATATAGAAAAACAACACATGGGATGTTTTTCCCCTCTTGATTCAATCAAGCTGTTTAATTGGGTCTTGCACCTTACTTTTGCTAAATCAATCTCGGGTCCAGGATCAGAACCCCGTCTTAAGAAAGCAATGGTGCTGTTGTTAAGCAACAGCAGTGGTGAGCCAGTCGTCACTTGTTACTCCAACCCCCATTGCCCCACAGGAACTCTTCTTTTCCTGGCTCACAGTTTCTATAGGATACAACTGCAAAGCTTTTCTATCCAAGAAACCAACCTACCACTGATTTGCAAGTCAAAGCAGCTGGCTGCCTTATGTGGCAGTTGAAGAAATTAATCACAGTTCTGATTTTCCTCAAGACCCTTTTCTTTTATCTTTTTCTTATTTGAAGCCATCTAATTCACACATATGTGCTTTTGTTAGTATGTGAGATGGCTTTTCACTATCCAAGTAACTGAGAAATGAGATTATCATTTAGGGTAGGAATTAAAAACACAAGGGTTCTCTGTGATTAGGTAGACAAAATACAGAAGAAAGTGGGTACATCTGTAAGATACTGCAAAGGAAAAAACATTACTGACAATACGCTCATTTATATCCTGCAGGTAGTTCAGGGGGATGGGGTGAACCCTTAAATATTTCTGAGAAAGACAAACTTCTGATGTGAAAACAGTGCCACCTATTTAGCTTAATGCTACCAGATACTTGATTTATCTAACATTAACTTCTCTGTTCTGATCTTATGTTTAACATACAATCTTCTAATCACACTCTGGCCCCGGCTGTGCCAACACAAATGTTTTGGACAATGTGCCAATTATGTTCCCCACTATAAACAAGCAGCAAAAATTACTAGTTTTAGACATCAGCCAACTGAAGTAGTTAATGTGACTCCACTCTGAGGCAGATGCACTCAATATTCTTATAACAAGTGTCAGAATACTCAAGGTTAAGAGAAAAGTGATTGTCACCCTGGAATACCTTGGGGCAGAATCAGCCAATCTCCCCTAGTGCATGGGAATTCCAGTGAGGTGAACCTGAACAGCTTAGAAAAGCAAGAAATAAGGCTGTTTTCTAAAATTGGACTTCTCTGCATTGCCACTTCAGTTTGAAATTTTACAAGTACAACCCCAACTCCCACCTATAATGAGATGATACCACTGTGGCTGGGATTGTAAATGTCACCACTGGCCATGTGCTAAAGGCCTAGTTGCCAGCCTGTGGCATGCTTGGGAGGTTGTGCCTTCTTTGAAAGATAGGGCCTGGTGCAAGGAAAGTTGGGGGGCACTAGTGAGGGAGATTTTAGGACCTCTGCTCCTCCTCCTCCTCTCTCTTTGCTTTCCAGCCCCCATAAAATGAGATGTTTTGCTCTACCACATACTTGCCACTATGATATTTGGCCTCACCACAGGCCAAAAAACAATGAAGCCAGGTAACCAAGGTCTGAAACCTCTGAACCTGGGAGCAAAAATAAATGTTTCATCCTTTTAAATAGGTTTTTCTCAGATATTTTGTCACAGTGTTAGAAAGCTAATGCAGAAACTAAGCATATATTCACCTTAGATTGCCTTCCTGGCTTTAAAGCCATATCCAACTGCCGACTGAGGACTTACACTTAGAGTCAACCTAGATTCCTCCTGTTTCTTCAAATGCTGCACCTCTCAACAACAAACTAATCATCAATTTCTGTGTATTTAATATTTCTTGACTCCAAAACTTGACAATCTTTTTTAATGTTTATTTCCTCTTTCTTAGTTTGGGTCTTCACCATTCTTGGCCTGAATTATTTTGATGCCACCTCTAAAAGGGCTTTAGTTCAGCTCCAACTTCATTGCATTCTGCCCTCTATAATGTCTAGTGTTATGGACTAAAATTTGAATATGACTGAAGCATAATTTTGTATTTGTTTCTTCTCCA